AGGATCTCTTTAATGCAGTTTATTTTCACATCATACGTCATTGATTTGTTCGATCAATTTACTGCCTTCTATTTTGCATATTTCATCAAAGATGTTATTGATATAAAAGCTATTTGTCTTAGTGTTTGCGCGAGTAATAGGTAATATAGTGTGCTTTCAAGTATGTGACGCTTTTTGAAATATGAAACCTTGTTGTGTTTCCTTTCATTCTTCTGTAGATCGCTGTCACAACACTTTTTTTTTAGATGTGTATAGCACAATAACGTCTGATTAAATTCGAATAAGGGACATAATCGCCATACTGTTTATCGTATATATAATTATTTCCTTTTCCACAGCTGTAAGGTGCTGGAAAAGCTTGAAATCCGACTTTTGAAATACTCTTTATTAATGCTTGTATACACACAGGTGTCTCTATGATGCTAAGGTGTGTTTCCAGCCAGCAGAGGTGAGGTGATGCACCTTTCTGTTGTGTTTCATCCTGTGCCTTGAGGCTACCTTTTGTAACGTTGACATGGATAAAGTGCAGGAGGCAGGCGTGCTGCTTTATCTCTGTTAAACACAAGGACTGTTTCTGTCTGTCTTTGGAGTGGAGTGAGTTTCCTGCTGAAGGCGAGAGCTTTCCTGTGTGTGTGTGTGTGTGTGTGTGTGTGTTGTACTGAGGAAACCTTGCGCTGTTTGTTTTCAAAGCTGTGTGGACGTATGAGGAGGGGAGACGTGTGTGTGGGAGGGATGGGAAAGGCAGGTAGAGAGAATTTTGTCGAACAGCTGCTTGAATTCTCGGTAAACTGGGCTGTGCTCTGTCCTGTTATATAACTCAGTGTGTGTGTGTGTGTGTGGTATTTGCCTGGCGGAGCAGCAGCGCTCCACCTCACTCCGACCAGCCGACACTTCACCTCTGGATCTCTGACTGGATTTACTCTTTCTCCACAAACTCGCTGGAATTACGAGGGATTTGACGACGTTTTTTTTACAACCACATATTCTGGAATTCATACAGCTTTTTAAATGTACTTTTTTGTACATATTTTTTTTATATTTCCCCTTCAATTCTTAAAATGACTTGCACTAAACTTCCTCTACTTTTTGCCACACACGTAGGCCATTCATACTTCTCTTTTTATCCGACATCCTCAGCCGTAAATAGTGATTTTGAAACGCAGACGTTCAGCTGAATGGATTTCTCCCAGCCGGTGTAATTGAGGTTTTGGACGAGTCGGTGCACGTTAGCAGGTTGAAGCGCTCTCCAGGATAAAAAGGAAGTGTGTGTGCATTAGTTTGAGTGTGTGTGTCCCAGTCTGGACGACGCTGAGGAGCAACATGTGGTTTTCTGTGGTGGGCAGGAAAGACCAGGTAACACCGCTTTAATTATCACATTTGTGCTAAAACACCTAGAAAGTCTTATTAAGGGAAATGTTCTTATCACTTCTCGATTATTTTTGCTTTGTGTGTGGTTATTTTTACACATTGTTAGAAAAAATATCACTCGACACCAGGTTGAGAATCAATGATCAGGTAACTAATTTATTCTTGCAAGAAGGAGCAGAGTTAAATCACATACAAAGGATATGGTTTAACTCACACACTCAATGTTGCTCAAAGGAACAGCAAAAAACATCAGGCTTATATAGTCCAAAACACAGGAGATAACAACGAAGTCGTAAATCGAGGTGGCGCTAATATCAGCCGCGGGTGTCGGAAAGTCGGGTCATCTGCGATGGGTCATCTGTGACGTCTTCTGGAAAGACTCACGTACTTCCTTCACGCTTCATAGAAATGAGATATTTAGGAGACAGCAAGTCTGTCTTCTCATAAATATCAACAACCTGAAATGCCCTACCTCCTCCTATCAGGCAGCTGCAAGGTCACACACAGTTCAGAGCCACACATGATATCAGTGCATTAAAACAACCCAAAGACTGGAGAAAACAGTATTTCTCCAACACACATGCAAGTCGGATAAGTAGCGTTTGTTCTGTTCACCACCAGATTCCTTTGTAGCTTCTTCAAAGATTCAAAGGCTTTATTTGTCAAATGCACAATAGCTAAAGTGTAGCCCCTCTTACAATGCAGCATACAGTACGATATGCCTCACATCAAAGTAAAAGACGTATAAAACAATGCAAAAGCGTTCAAGTAGGTTGCAGGAATTAGAAAAATGTGCCTACATAAATAGAACAAGAGGTCAAATGAACATTTTATACTCTAATAATGTATTAATATGTGGATATAAGGACTTTTAACAGATGGCGACCCTCTCTGATTCACTGACTGTATTCATTCTCGGTCGTTGCATAGTGAAGTTATTGACCACACGTGAGTAATAGCAGCTTCATGTGGATGTATCTTCGTCCCTACAGTGTGATGGCCCTCTGCTTCGTGACTGTTTGCTTTCAGGGCCGCTCTGCTAATGTTTAAACTAAAGTACACACATGAGACACAGATGGTCAAAACACATGCATATTTTGGACAGTGTGCTCCGAAATGACTTCATCTAGTC